GGTGTCCTGACAAATTGTTATTGTCCAACAAGCTGCAAGGAGCAATAAATATTAGGGAGAGTACACTTAATTCTACTGAATTAAACACAACAATCATTATATTAAAAATCTTACAAATGCAAAAGTTGAGGTAAGGTGGAGAGCTCTGAGGGGATTTGACCACTGATTGAGTTATTGTTCAAATGACTGCAAGTTAGAAAAATTTTTAATAAGAAGGAATCTCAAAGTTACCTTTTTGTTATTAAAACCGTTCAATTGTAGCATAACTGACTTACAAGTGCTTGACACTTTGCAGATTAGCAAATGATTTCGGTAGTTGCCCAGTTATATTGTTATCATCCACCTGAAGTATTAGTAAATTAGGCAGATAACCAAGTTCATCCGGTAAAGGCCCTGTAAGATTATTTCCACTCAATAGCCTGCAACCAAGAACACTTCTGTAAGCTTTTTTTGATTGATTCAGACAGTTGGATGAGTTTAGCAGAACATCAATGACTCACAGGTATTTCAGATTACTAAGGTTGCTTATCTCCTTTGGTATGCTGCCACTGATATGATTCCACATAAAATTTCTGGCAAAAAACAGTAAGTAACAAGAACAAGTTATTGTCAATGTCGAAAGGGCTTAATCATGGACAAAAATGACTGAATGAAAACTTTGTTTGATACAAAATATCCATATCCACGAAAACAATCCTTGGAGTTTGGTGTTAAAATGACAACTTACAATATTGTCATAAAGGACAATTCACCAAGCTCAGACGCTAGTTCTCCAAACAGATTCAATTTTAGCATCCGTCTGCATCATGAGATGGATCAGAAGTTAAAGAATAGGAAATATTACCCCGGATATTACTGCAACAACAAAATTGAGTAACTGATTCTAACTCTTAGCATTAAAAATAACATTAATCAGGTGACATATCAGATCTTCATTCTATTTGAAGGAGAATGCAAATGAGCATAACTAGAAGCAGGAAACTAGAAATTGTGTTGTACTATGGAGACATACCTACTAATGAGGAAATAAAAAAGGCAATATTAGGAAGCTATATAGAAATTAATCAGAATAACAAGAACACTGAATAAATAATCATACAATTCTCCTACGTGCAGATAACCATCACTATGATCAAGGTAGCAGAAAACACCAGTCCAGTTGGATGTGCATGGATCACTGCTTTTTGTCCAATTAAGGTTATTGCTTGGATCTTGAAGCTTATCACGAATAGCTCTTAATGCTTTCACTGCAATTCAGGTTAAAAGTTAACCGTAAAGTAAGTAATCAAGCATGAATGGGTTTGTAACCTCAAACTTGAGTATTTTTATTTTAACATAGAGGCAAAACTGGATCATATAAGAAGAATTCAAATCAAAGAAAAATCAACCTTCAGGGGGAAAAGTTATCTGTGCGGTAGCAAGAAGTGCTAAGCAGCATATAGCTACAACAGGAATTACACCACAGATTGCTCTTGCCATCTTGACACTCAAATAAAAAACAGAAAACAAAAGCATCCTCGTCAGTGTAATAAAAACAAAAGAAGGTTAATTCCTCATAACCTATGGTTTGGAAAACCTTAGGCTACTCAATTATCATACAACAAACAAAAACCATGCCATTCTTTTGATTTTGATGTCCTTCATAGGAACCACAAGTAATAGAGAGTTTAAACACAAAAGAAGTAGTGTCAAGGAAAAAGAAGAATAGACGGATGATGGATGCAGTGGGAAAACCTAGAAGAATGATGAAAACGCAACCTGATTTGTTCAAGAGAGACTTGAAGCATCATGCACGGAACCAAGAGGGTAACTAGTAGTTGCACTATTATATATGCAATAAGGCAAAACCATATGAAATGTCAGAAAATGGAAGATTAGTCAGTAGCAATACTAAGGATTAGATAAAATAATGCTGTCCCAGTTTTGGATTTTGAAGATTTAGAATTGAGGTTTTTATCTCCTAGGACTTGGTCTCTGAAACTTGGATGCTGAATCCTGGATGGTTGCAGCCTATGTAAGGAGCCAAAAGTCCACATCTTTGAGTTGCTTTTCTTGTGTTTTCTTTTTCAGTTGACATGAACTAGGATAATTTTTCCCGAGTGCAACCAAGCTAGCCTGACTCTGGAGATTGGCCCTACAACTATACTGCCCTGAATGGTTCTCATGCTGTCTACCATCAAAGCCAGAGAAGATAAAGTAAAATTATCTCGTAAGCTGACTTTTAACCATGAGAAAATGACTCATTATAACCTTTTAAAAATAAAAATTCTGACTTGGAGAGAAGGACAAACCATTTCATGAACAAAACAAAATTTTATTCAAGTGCAATCTCATTTTGACCATTAATCAATCTTTTTCAACATGCCAGAAGCCAAGGAAAAATTTAAAAAATCTAACTTTTGGTTCTGGTTAGTTTGGAGGAGTAATAACTATATAAGCTGAAAATCTAGCCTGGAATTTGTCAACTGAGTATGGCTGAAGAAACACATGACGTTACAGAATCCTCCAATCAAATTTACCAATTCAGCTATTAAGCAGACTGAGTCTTTACCAAATATGATAAAGCTAAAAAAATTTATAAATAATGGACAAAATTCAGTTGCCTAACGGCTGAGCCGACCTTATATTAAAATGACATATTACGATAAATTTCCTTGAATATAATAAATTCAAGGAGGGGAAGCAGGGTTTCAGTCCGAATTGGCAAAACAAATTATTATTGAAGGCAGTAGAAAATGTCGTAGTAGCTAGTTCTTTAAAATTGTATTAAACTGAGAGATGCATTTACTGAAAATCTAGTGAGAAGAAGCATATGATGCCTAAATATCAATATCAATTGGTTTCCAAATACGTGTTAATGAAAACTTCCCAAGTAACTACTACCTTGTGATGTTAC